ATGAGAAGAATGGCCTGACGGGACAGAATGGGGTATATAACTGGAGACCAGCTAGAAAGCTGTAATACAACTGGAGATAATGATAATCTGAATTGAAGTGTAATAGAGGAGACTGAAAGATGTGGAAAAAAAGACATGAAAAGGGGGCTATCTATGAAACTTGGAAAGTAAACATGTGAGATAAAGAGGGAGTTACTGAGGAAAGTTCCCTTACTTTTGGCTTGAAAACCAGTTAGATGGTGGTGCTATTCATTAAGAGAACAAGAGAATATTGGAGCTTGGGGAAAATAATACGATGGATTGATTTTTGTATATCCAAATGGAAATTTCCAGTGGGCAGCTAACTACTAGGCCTGAAACTGGAAAGAAACTTGGGCTACGGATAAGATTTTATGAATTATCAGCAGATAAACGGTAACTAAAGCCACTGAAGAAAGGAGCATGGGAAAATGAATAATAATAAGAAAATCAGTTCAAGTGCTCAGTGGTTGAATATCGCCAATAACAAGAACATTAACAGTAATATATGTTACTGGCCATACAACAAGAACAGACAGGGCCGGGCAGGGTGGCTCTCGCCTGTAATCCCAGCACTTTGGGAGGTGGAGGTGGGTGGATCACAAGGTCAGGAGTTCAAGACCAGCCTGACCAACATGGTAAAACCATGTCTCTACTAAAAATACAAAAACAATTAGCCAGGTGTGATAGCACACACCACTGTACTTCAGCCTGGGCGACAGAGTGAGACTCTGTCTGAAACAAAACGAAACAGACCATGTACCTTCTAAAGACTTTCCTCACATATTTTTTAAAAGTTAAAATCCTTTAAACTTACTATTATTATTATCATGACATTTTACAGTCCAGAAAAACCAAGGCACAGTATAATGAAGTAATTTGCCTGAAATTACACATCTAGTTAAATGGTGAAACCAGGATTTGAAGACAGGTAGTCTGACTCCAGGACTTTGTTCTCAACCCTATACAAACCTCACAGTAATTCCTGAAGGTAGATATTTTTACCTATACTTTATAGATTTAAAACAACGAGGCTCAGAGAAATTAAATAACTTGTAACTTAGTAAGGTAGCTTACATGTAGCGGGCCTAAAATTGAAATGTAAAGTTCATATTGTTTCAAATCTCAGAGTGTAAGTAGGGATTTATAATTCTCTTATGATCTTTTTTTTTTTTTTTTTTTT